GCACTTTGTAACCTTTCGCATACACTGTCAGAGCAGCGCGTTTCAAGGCTGGAGCTCATTGCATTTTTGGGGCGGATTTCACGACCGGGTCATGCATGGGCTGGGCATTTTTGCCATCGATTGCCACAAAGGCGAAAGAATGAATGCACATGATTCTCCAAAGCACACTACGGAGAAGGAGCACTTAAGGATACACTCGCAGATTTCGATAAGACTGCTTTCAGCTGCTTTCAGCACACATCACAGCCCTTAAGAGGATTGGACAAGCAGAGCCGTTGAACACAAGGGCCCACTCTTCATGAGATTTGAGGGCCAAGTCTTGAGGATTTTTGAGAGATCACATTGGTTTGCATACGCGGAGCGCTCTCTTAAACACTCATGCTTCAAGAGCACAGGCAGAGCTCCACACTGGAGGGGCACGACCAGGCCCCAAGCCGGTTGTTGGATGGTGTGAACAAATCTTCTTATAACTGGAAAGCAAAAGAAAAACATTTGGGGGGAACATAGAAACATGCAGTCCTTGGAAGTTCTTGACAACACTTAAGTAACCGGCAATGTGTGCCCCATCAGGAAGTATGACGAGTCCTTCTGATCTTTCACAGCTCCTTCCAAGAGTAGAAATTCCACCATCCTGCAACAGACAGGCATTCAGCCCTCATGCCAAAGTCTAAGGGGGTACCAATAACCTTCAAGCTGGTCAGCCAAAAATACACTATGTTTGGGTGCGGATGATGAACACTTGGTCCTTGCGTCGCCCTGTTTGGCAGCCTTGTGCAAAGCATAGCTGGACCACAGCAAGGACCTACGCACAAAGGAAGCAGGCAGAAAAGAACGAAACGATGGAACCTTTTCAGCTTCCTTCCCACCTTTTAGGACTGTTCACGGACTTGAAGCCATATTTCTTCAGGAAGTCGGCCACGGCCACTTGGCGCTCCTTCCACGGGATAAAGAAACAGGCTCACCATTGCTTACCAGAAAGTATGGGCCTGACTTTCTTTGCGAAAAAGTCGAAAGGCAAATTGTGGATTCGGGTGGGGTTGTCTCTTGCTATGTCTCCGATGCAAAGCACCTCCTACTTTGTCCACGAAGAGTGTTTGCCTGTGAATGTTACAAGGATTTGCGCACCCCGCACATCCATGCACCTCTTCCTCCTTAGCTCTTCCAGCTGCAACCGCAGCCTCATGTTCTTTGGCAGCTGCTTCTTCTGCCGCTTTTTCAGCCTTGTGCAGCTCAACCTACTTCAATCCCCTGGGGTCCCGCAGTTGTCCTGGACAAATTCCAGAAAGCATCGCACCTTGACTTCTTTGATCTTCTCCGCGGTCTCCTTAATCTCTTTCGCCAGTTCGGGCTCGGTCTTCGCCAAAGCCTCCTGGTTTGTTTTCACCTGAAGAGGCTCAAGAGAGGTGCCCTTCCGGCTTAAGTAAGGCGTACCTCCTTCTAGCGTCCTTGCTCCTAGTAGTAAGGCCAGGAGACCCTAGTAGCGCTCTTGCTTCTAGTAGCGATGCCAGGAGCCCCTAGTAGCGTTCTTGCTCCTAGTAG